CGCTGCCAGCAAGCATGCTTCAACTTACAGGTAGTTTCGTACAGCCGTACAGCCCGAGGCCGTGCAGAGCAGGGGGAGTGTCTAGAATCGTGAGATGGTTGGTGGATTTGTGACTTCGGACTTGAAACACGCCCCACCAGGCGTGGCGGACAGCCAGCAGAAATGGACGCGACGCAATAGGAGGGGCCATACTTCGCAGGTCGATTCTTTGTGCGTGTCCGAGTGCATCTCTGGGGGAGCGTCGGTATGAGAGGGCTGGGATATCAGAAACGATCGTTGCCCGAGTTTGGCGGAGTTCAGCACTGTTCAACACATTCCTCGGGTGCCGGTTCGTTCTGTCAAAGGATGGGCTCCAGTAGACACAACATCGAAAACACGCTTCCAGGAGTTTAAGATGACTCGCTGTTCTGTGGCATTCGATCGGGTTGCGCCGCCCGGTACCACATTGCAGCAGGTGGAGGCGGTGACGTTGGCAGCAGCCCAGGAGGTGCCATTCACCGCGACAAGCTCCAAAATGCGAGAAGCTCGGCAGCTACGGAAGAGGTGAGACAAGCCAAGTGGGCATGGCAAGCGGAGGTGAACCCGGTAATGCGGATTCAACAGACGAGGCATTATTGCCCTTTCGTTCCAGGCATCGGCGGGGCGGCTGAACCTTTGGAGGAGGCTGTCGGATCTCAGCGCGTCAGGGCTTACGGCGCCGTGCGTGCCTTTCAATCTATCGGTCGGCCCAGACGGGCCACTGTCGTCCCAGACGAGGAGGGGAAAAAGCAGCATTCGAGTTGTGCAGTGATCGTTTTGCTGCCGAGAGCAAGGGTGGAGCGGTGAAGCGCCAGCGTATGTTTCATTGGCAGGCGGTGGTTCAGGCGCGACGTGTCGACGATCATCCAGTACCCTCGCTAAGTCTGTTCGCTGTCTTGCGGGCCCGCGCCAGGCTCTCGACCAAGAAAGCGGCTGGCACCGATCAGGTGGTCCCAGAGATATGCAAGGCACTTCTGCTGGCACTGGCGGTTCAGATTTGGACGTTGTTCCGTGCATTTTTTTTTCGCGGGACTGCGGCCAACTTATTGGTTTCAGTGGAGTGCCGAAATCCCGTCGGTCGCTTACTCGCTGGATTATTGACACGTAGCCAACTCACAATTCTTACAAGCATGGTTTCCTTGTTGCGTGGTCCAGTTGATCGACGACCGTGTGGCTCCCTCTTCACGTGTGCGGCTTTCAGCCGGGAAGCTGCACCTCCTGCGTCAGCGAGTCGATTCGAGCTAAATGGAATCGGCCAACATTGTTTTGGATTGGGGTGTTGAGACGGCTGTCGACGCAATGGGGCACGCACAACTGGGATGGGCATTGGTGAAAAAGAGCGTGCCCCCAGTGCTGATACTAGCCGTCTGTGGTCTCTCGGCTAACTTAAAGGCCGCGTGACTGTAGCGGATTGTTTGCCCAGCGAGTTTTCCGATTTTTGGAAAAGAGAGCGGTTCGGAGCCGTGGAGACACACGAGAGTTTCAACCTGATGGTCGAGGACATCACGGAATCTTGTTTTGTATTGGAGCCAGCGTTATGTGGGTTTTGCCTTGATGACGTCAGCGTTAATCATTTTCGTGTGGGCAGCCAGTGCTTGCTTGGCCCATGGTGCCCGAGGACAAACTGAAATCGATGGTCGTTCAGTATGCGTTTTTTTTTACAACCTGGGTTTCACATGGAAAGGGTCTCCCTTGTAATGCATGTGTGGTTTCAGTGGCGGTATAAAGGGAGTTTCCATATCAACGTTCTTGGGCAAGATCGTTTGCAGGTGCCGCGCGTGGACAGTATGGTCGTGCTGCGGGTTTGTCGGTCTCCGCGAAGGACAGCGTGGAATACTGCGTGGCGCAGGCCGATCGTAGGTTCTACCAGCACGCGGCCCTCCCATGCAACAGGCCAGGGGGGGCGGAGCTGAGGGTCGCAAGCTTCTTCGGCACAGCGGTGCAGACGCTTCTGCGCAATCTGGGGGGAAAGGCGCGTGAGCGGGCAGCTGTTGAGCACCCTCCGGGCGTGGGGGAATATTTGCAAGCTTAGGGGGCCGCTTGGCATGCGTAGGCGAGACGAGGAATCGCAATCCCAGTGCTTGCAGCGCACTTCCAGGACTATCGCCGCATGGCTTCGCAAGGTCGGCTAGCAGCGCGCACGTGAACTATTCGTGGGGCGTCTGCATGCTTGGGCCGAGTGAACCTTGCACCATAGACTTCTCGACGGGAGTGCGCAGGTTGCCTCGTCGCTGACGGCGCGCCACCGACAGCGCTAGAACCAGACGTGGCCAGTCGGATGCGTGATCGACCACAACGACAGCACGGGTCGGAAACGTTGGCGACCAGGGCGCATCTTAACCTGGGGGGGGCCCGATTCTTCAAACGATGGGGGTCAATTGGTGGGGTGTTGCGTTGGCGGGAGGGGCGGCGCGTGACCGTCGTCAGCGAATTCCTTGGTAAGTCGATGCCGCAGCGGGGATGGTCCCCGCGCAATCTGCATGCCGACTGGATCTTTTGGCTCCCGAGGGGCCAGAAGTGGGTGCCTGACTTGATCGCACATATGGTGATGGATAGTTGGTTTGTTTCATCGCATGGGTCACATGAGCCCCCGAACGCGCATGATTGCAATGAGGTCTTGCTGTCTGACGGTGGACTCCGTCAGGACTGACGTGGCGCAGCGGCAATGGCATTGTATTTCTTCTGCGGCACGCGGCCGAAGATGGTAGCTTGGGCGGTTCACCTTGCCGAGCGATTGCCAGTTTTGACGCGGAGTTGCTGGTTCGGGACTTTGCTGTAGGCGTCTTCTGGGGCACCGTCGCCGGCCGCGGCATCTGCGTCCCGTGCGCCGTGGAGGAGGAATTCCACGGTCGAGTGGAGCAGCATGTAGCTGCACATCGATGGCTTCAAACAGAGCCGAGAATGGAAGACATGGTTTGATGACGATGGTGATGGTGATGATGATGGTGGTGATGATGATAATGACGTCGGCTACGACGATGGTGACGACGCTGGTGGCGATGATGATGACGCTGATGATGGTGATGCTGTTGGCGATGGTGATGGTGATGGTGATGTTGATCATGATGACGACGAATGACGATTATGATGATGATGCCGATGATGCTGATGTTGGTGATGGGATGAGGCGAGGATGCTGCTGATGCTGATGACCGTGTCGTTTTTTATGATAATAGTGGTGGTGGTAGTGAGGATGCTGGTGACGGTGATGGTGATGTTGATGATGATGATGCTGATGATGACGATAATGATGATGATGGTGATGGTGATGGTGATGGTGATGGTGGTGGTGATGGTGGTGATGATGATGATGATGGTACTGATGCTGCTGTTGATGATGATGATGCTGGTGATGAGGGTTGTGATGATGATGATGATGATGATGATGATGATGATGATGATGATGATGATGAGGATGGTGATGATGATGCTGATGATGCTGATGATGATGAGGATGATGATGATGCTGATGATGATGATGTTGATGATGATGATGGTGATGGTGATGATGATGATGATGATGATGATGATGATGATGATGATGATGATGATGGTGATGATGATGATGATGATGATGATGATTATGATGATGATGATGATGAATAAGAAGAAGATGCTGCAATTTGTTTGGGCCGCCTTGGGGCTGTTCTGGCCTTTTGTGAGGCAGTCTTGGGGGTCCCCTAGGGCGCTATTAGGCCGTCCTGGTGACCATTTTGCGCCGGCTTGCGGCTCTCTTGAGCCGTTCTGATGCCCTCTTGGACGTATGATAGGTGCCTTGGGGCCGTCTTGGGCCAACTCGGCGCCATCTTGGGCCGCCGAAAGGATTTCAAATCCCGTCTCGGATCCAGCGGGGCTCCCTCTTGGCCCGTCTAGGGGCCGTCTTGGATGCCTCTTGGGCCATCGTGAAGTGTCCTTGGACCGTCTTGAGCTGTTGGCAGCCCGAAACGGCGAGACTTTGAAAATCGTTCGAAAACCCATGCTGCGGAGTCTCTTTTGGCCCTTCTGGGCCCCCTTGGAGGCACCTTGGGCCGTCTTGAATCAATATTCGGCCGCCGTGTGGCCATCCTGGGCTGGCTTCGAGCATCTTGGGTCATCTCGGTGTTGATTGCGCGGGCCGTCTGGGAAACCTGGAATCGCTTGGGGGGCTCTGGGAACGCTTGGGGGCAGCGCCTGGGAATGCGACGATCCTCGAGCGGGTGCGCGTGGGATGAGGGTCTAGAAGTTAGCGCCCATGCGATAAATGCACAATCCTCGAGCGGGCGCGCATGGGATGGGATTTCAGGCGTTATTTGCCAATCGGGAAGTGTACCATCCTCGAACGGGCACGTTTCGAAGGGGGGTTCAGGCATTAGCTGCCCTGCGGGAAGCACCACCCTCGAGCGGGCACGCGTGGAATGGAGGTTTAGGCATTAGCTGCCATGCTGGAAATGCACCATCCTCGAGTGGGCACGAGGGATATGGCTTCGGAAAGGGGGGCCGATGCATGCAACAGTCTGTGGGTAGAGGGGGGGGGTCCCTTATTAGATTGCACAAATCCCTACCAGACAGACCTTGACATTTTTCCACGCCTCAACGTGCCAGGGGGCACGGGGGCCAATGGGTCTGCCCCTTGCAATCAAGAGAGCCACGCAAAGAAACAGGCTTTGGATCGACTGCGCGGGCACTGGCGCAAGCGTCCTGCGTAAGGTCGCGAGTGGGCGCCCTGCGTGGTTTGCTTCCTCGGCGGCTTGCGTAGCCCATTGCGTAAGAACGCCTGTCTCGTTGTCCGTGGGACGCAGTCTCCCAGATCTGTGGTGTCGTATTTTTTTCAGGGTGGCCCCTTGAACTCTCGATCCTCCACCAAGTCGTCTCCATTTGGCCTCGTGGCCCGAAGCTGGACCTGGGGGCCTTGTGTGTCTTCAAGGCGTCAGAGCCCTAGATTTCCTTCGCCGCTCATAAAGAGGTGTGTGCAGGGGTTGCCGCAACGGCCACCGAGAGCAGAG